TTACCTTTTAAGTTAGTTGTATTTCCGTAAAATTTTAAATCTTTTTTTACAAATTTGACAACTAATTGTAGTTTTGTCAACATTTTTTTTGAAATGCTCCCACACCATGGATCGCTGCTTACTGCCAGGTCGCATTTTAAACTTATATAAAACTAGGTTGTATCTTTAATATTTATTATAATTATTCGAGAAAATTGATAGTTATATTATTTAATTTTTATAATATACTACTTACTATAGGCCAATACATAGTAAATACGATTAATATATATATATATATATATTAATATATAACGATTTTAATGTATAAAATGAACAATGAACGATAAAAAATATACGATACAAGTTGTATCATACAACATACAAATAAAATTAAAGTATACCGAAATAACAAATAATCCATGTGATCAAAATTTAAAATTATTATTCATAATAGATATAAATAAAATAATAATCGAAAGCATTTATTAAACGATTCCAGATAGTACAGAAACAGAAGAGGTATAGACATGGGCGTAGCGAGGGTGAGACAGAGGAGCCACTTGCCCACCCCTAAGCCTCAAACTGAATTATAATTGTTTATACCAAACTTGTAAGTTAAAATTAAAAAAGATATAAATATAAAAATAGTTTAGTGGGATTGAGTGTTAAGCTGGCCACACACTACGGTTTTATTTGTCCGTGTACGGTGTAGTTCGAACAACGTACACATATAGTGTGTGGGCAATAAAACGGACAAAAAACACCGTACACGGACACGGAATAAAAACTGAGGAGTTTGATTTTTTGTCCGTGTTCGGTGTTTGAAATGAACAAAACCGAAGGTTAGTGTTATTCGAACACCGTACAAAGATACAAAATGGATTGTGTGTGTCGTTCATCGGTGTACGAACTAAAAATGAGCGAACTACACCATACATCGTACACGTACAAATAAAACCGTAGTGTGTGGCCAGCTTTATCTACACGTGCAATCGTTTTGACGTTTTATGTGTTATCCAATGGTCTATCTGTAGATTATTTGAATTACGAGTTTAACACTAATCACTTTATGTTTTTGCCCTCCCCCCCAGATTCAAATCTTAGCTACGCCATTGAGTATAGAAAATGTATAGAAAATCTATAGATAATTATTTTTACTTATATTCGTAGAATACGGTGCGGGCCGCGAAATAATAAAATTCTCCATTCATCATAGTGCAGATGGCAAACGCTGTTTTGATTGAAATATAAATTAGTAAATATAAAAATAGTAATTACTAATTTTTCATTCGATTATTTTCTCTCGATTGTTCCCATCACTAGTAAATATAAGAATAGTAATTACTAATTTTTCATTCGATTATTTTTATAATAATCGAGTTACTCGATACATTCAAATTTCGATACTGTAAAAATATTGAATTCAAGTTCATTAAAGTTCAAAAGTGCTGCACAAGTACCCTTTTAACAAAAATCAGAAAAATAGTATATAAATAATTCAAGTAATTTTAGTTTTGGTTTATTTTACATTAAAATAATTACACATTATTGTCAATATAGCTAGCAACGATACTTTTACTTATAATGTCGAGATAAAAGTCTTTATGTTAAACTGGTATATAGTCCAATGTCTTCAAGTTTAGCTGGATTCATTGGGACTCCAATATCTTTGTAAAGTAGGTTTTGAGGAAGTTGGATTGGAGTTCGAGTTGAATTGGCCAAGCAGAATGTGTTTACTTTGAGACCGTTGATACAAGACATTGCTTTACAAACACCTTTGGCAGCTGTGTCATACTCGAAATGGTAATACGAGCTTATTCCAAAACTAGTCTGTTGTTGTTTTGGTTTTCTTTTAGTCTCTTATGAAATAGGACTTCTTTTGTAGTACTTCCTCCACCATGATTGGAAATCTAAAATAATTTTCTCATCTACCTCTACCACTGTGAACTTTTGATCCACACTACTTTTGATGATTAGTTCCGTAAGCTCTCTAATGGTGTACAATCGATTGCATTTTCTTAAAGACCTTTTTATTATCGCAAAATCTCTATCACATGGTGAATAGCTATGACCCACTACAGGGAAAAATTGCTTTACTTTTTTGAAACGACTTGTATCGGTCAAAGCCAAAAAAAACCGCGACACTGCATGTTTCTTGTTTTGTCCCCCACAGTTGTCTGCGTAAACGTGGAGTTCATCATACGTCATAGGTACATTGTCAATATATTGTTTTAAAAAAGAACAAACCTCGTCAGGTCCCCTTTTTGCCTGTCCTTCATGATAAATAAATATTGTTGATTTGTTCTGTTTTATGTTTTGTATACAAAAAACATAACCAGTCAATTGACGTAGATAAAAATGTTCTTGCACAAGAATCTTAGGTAACGGAACATTCATCATATAATCCATAGTAATAGCAAGCACATTTTCATTAACATTATTCTGCTTATCTTCAACTTCTTTTTTTATACACGCATTATACTTTTTAGCCTTTCTTTTGTGTACCATGATTTCCGCAACTGCGATACGTTTGGCTGCATCATTGAGATGAGGTGATTTAATTTTAACATTTAGTGACTCACATGTACAACATGTATCGATCTGTGGTTGACCAAAGCGTAAATCAGGGAACTTTTGTCTGAAGTATTGCCAATAGGTGTTATAACAAATTTTAGTGATCTCAGGATTTTTATTTTTAAAAAGATTAAACATTTTTCTATAATTAAGCTCGGATGCTAGATACTTAACTTCTTTTCCTGAGTAATGGCTAATATTTACCGGAAAAGAAGAAATATGTTCACATATTTTGTGTTTTAAATTATCAGGAAGAGTGTAACTGGTATGCCGGCCCCTTTTGTCCTTCATAATTTCATTATTTACTTTTAAGTCCATGAATCTTCGAATTTTTTTGCAAGAGAGAGCAATAATAGAAATAAATGCTTGTTGACATACCTTTTCTCGCTGATTCCCAAACATTACATGATAGTTAAACGAAAAGTCTCGTTTTGGACCCTCTCCATCATTTAATTTATCTTTAGTGGATTTACGTCTTCTTTTCACTACAACAACATCAATAAGTCCTTGTAAATATTGATCTTGTTCATCTTTAGTTTGAAAATGTTCAAAGTTATGAATTAAATCAAACACAGCTTGTATAGTTTCAAATCCATATTTTTCAAAGCATTTATTTCTGCAGCTGAAAAATGTAAAAAACGTTATAGCAATCAGTTTAAATTTTGAAATATTTTAAATCGAACGAAGTCAAAAAAATAAAATAATCGAAAAATTTTCATTACAATAATATAAACGACAACGATAAAAAATTGCTTAACGACAAGGTTTACCAACAATCAGTGCAGGAACTTGCTTTTTTCTATGATTCACATAAGATGAACCAGTTAATTTGGTAGATTTTATTATATTTCTTTGGTACAGATGAGTATTTTTGGTCTTTCTATTCCTCTTCTGATCGTCGTTATTTCCTACGTCTGTATTTACTAAATCCATTTTACTCAGGTATACGAGTATTACTTAATTTTTTAAGTAAATATGAAAATTACCATACATATTGTATAATATATAGCTATACCAGGTACTTCTAGTATCCCGTTAGCGGATAGTCAGCAGCGAAACCGCCACAAGCACTGCCGGAGAACTTAGAAGCCGTATCCAGTCCAAGTGTGAGCCGTCGCCGCCCGAGTTGGAACGAGCCACCACCCTTCAATATCCGCGCAAATTACGCCTTGTGAGTTACCGCAACGGTGCTATTCGGACCTCCACGCACATTTACGGTATATAGTACCAACTCATCTCAGTGAGTAGTAACCAATAATATATGTATACGTTATGTGCAGCTGTAAACTCGACAACGAATATCATTATGTATGTATTCTAAACCGGATTGTCAAACAATAATAATTTTATTATGTATTATAAATCATTATTATTATTATATTTGTGATGAATAAAAGTTAACAAAACCAAAAAAGAAACAAACAGACTTTACATTTTGTTACACCTGTTTCGGGATCTTTTTGTTTAATATTTATGCAACACCCGTCATTTACTACCAAAAATAAAATTAATAGTTTTTAAATAGTTTTTAATAGTTTTTTAATAATTTTTTAATAGTTTTTTTTAATATAATTCATTTTCAATAGCGCAGTTATCGACCTGGTCAAAAAATATTAAACCGATTTCAACCCTTTAAATTCAAAATTTCGAAAAATCCTTTCTTAGCGCACGTCCACATCATAATAGCTATCTGTATGCCGAATTTCAGCCAGATCCGTCCAATGGTTTGAGTTGTGCGTTGATAGCAGTCAATCAGCTTACTGTTTAATATATACAGATATCATTAAAATAATGATAATAATGATAAATAGTGAATGTTTAATATTATAATAAACAAGCAACAAGAATAATAGTTACAATTGATGAAAGTCTAAAAATTGTTCATTGATATGATAATAATATTTAGGGTATATAAATAATTCAAAAATTTGTCTTTAGAAAAGTTGATATCAAAACTATTAAAAGCAGGTACATTATTTTTTCTTTAACACTTAAAGGGTTTAAAAAATTATTTAAAACGTATTTTCGTTATATTTTGTTAAAAAAATCTTCGTTATTATTTGTATCGATTCAATAAAAATATAAATACTTAGATGTTTAATACCTACTTTATTAGGAATCCTAAAATGACCACCAATAAAATTGAGTCAAACCTGAGAAATTTTGTTAATATTCAAATAAGATTTATTTATGCGACCTAAAACTGCTCATAGCCTCAATTTAGCAGTATCTAAAGCTAGTAATATTCAGCCTATTAGAAATTACTTGGACATTATAGAAAAAATGTATAGCTTTTTTAACTCTCCTAAACGCCAAAATGTGCTTTTAAATAAAATTAAAGAAAGTGATCTAGACCCAAATGTAAAAAGCTTAAAGCGTTTATGCGCAACAAGATGGGTTCAGAGATATGAAGCTGTAAATGATTTTATAGAACTTTTTAACTTTGTAGTGATATCCTTAGAAGACATTTCTAGTTGGAAAGATACTGCTGCAATTGATGCTTCTATTTTAATTAGAGCGCTTGATTCTGAATTTTTGGTATCACTTCAAATTGTAAATGTAATTATAGAATCTTTAAAATATTATGTTACATTTTATTTTTATAAATTATTTTAAAATATATTGATTTTAGGTATTATTTTCTTATGGTTTACCATTATGTAAATTACTACAAAGTAAAGGCATTGATTTAAAGGAAGCTATAGATCTTGCAGGTGATAATGTTACCGTACTTAAAAACTTAAGAACTAATATTAGTACAGAATTTAATAAAATGTTCAAAAAAGCACAGGTAAGCAATATATGATCTTTGATTGAGACTTAAATATTTTTAGTTAAATATGGAAGTGTACAATTTTAACTGCAATAAAACATTTATATTTCAATATTTGATTAGGAAATGGCTGAATTCTTGGATTTTCATATTAAAATTAAACGGATTAATAAGAGACAGATATACAGAGATAATCCAAATATAACAGATGATGGTTCTACACCCGATCCTGAGCAATATTTCCGAGTATCTATATGTCTCCCTTATATTGACTTCTTTATAAACCAATTGGAGGATAGGTTTTTGGCACATCGTAGAATTTTTGGAGGTTTGTTTTATATTTTGATAAATAATAGTTGAATACTTGAATAACACTATTTTAAAAATGAAAATAAAACATATAATTTTAAGTTATTTACAAAATTAACACATTTATTGTAAATTAAGTTTAATTATATTTAACAATAACTTTTCAAGGTTTTCAATGTTTATTTTCGAATGATTATGATTCTGAGGGTTTTGATGATTTAGTACATCTTTACCTTCCTACTGATATTCAAACTGTAAAAGCAGAATTGAGTTTATGGCATACAAAACTTTTACGCTTAGGAAAATCTCCAAAAACAGGACTTGATGCTATCAAGTTATGTAATAATGAATTATTTCCTAATTTGTTTGTTTTATTACAAATATTTTGCACACTTCCGGTGTCAACGGCCACACCAGAAAGAATGTTTTCATGCCTCAAAAAATTCAAAAAATCAAAGTTTACTGACACAACCATCTAGAAAATGTACATTTAATGATTTGTGTCAAGCCCTTTTATCGGCTAATATTCCGTTGAATAAATTATCCAACGATGGTTTTCGTAATTTTTTGGAAAAATATACAAGCAAGAGTATTCCCGTCGAATCAACATTGAGAAAATCGTATGTTGCCCAATGTTACGAAGAAACAATGAACAATATAAAAAAGTATTGTGAAAATCAAAAACTTTGGATTTCTATCGACGAAACCACAGATGTGGAAGGCCGGTATATCGCGAATGTAATTATCGGTACGTTAGAAATAGGAAAAATATTTTCACTTCACACAGAAGAACTGGAAAAAGCTAATCATATCAGCATTGCTAAATTATTGGATAAAGAACTTCATCTTTTGTGGCCTCAAGGGATTAAATATGACAATATTTTGCTGTTTTTGAGCGATGCAGCGCCATATATGGTAAAGACTGGTAAAGGCATAAAAATAATGTACTCTAAAATGGAACATGTCAACTGTTTAGCTCACGGATTACATAGGGTTGCAGAAGAAGTTCGTAAATATTTTCCTAAAGTTGATCAATTAATATCTAACGTAAAAAAATTTTTTTTAAAGTGTCCTGCCCGTATTCAATTTTTTCGAGAAAAGGCACCGAATATTTCTTTACCGCCACAGCCTGTATTAACTAGATGGGGGACGTGGCTAAGTGCCGCAAATTATTATTGTGAACACTTCGAAACTTTAAAAGAAATAATACTTGGTTTAAATAGAGAAGACGCTACATCGATTGAGAAAGCTCAAGATCTCATGGACGATGGTGATTTAAAAAGTGACTTGATATACATTTACTCTAATTTTGGAACATTGAGTGATTCTATAACTCAGTTAGAAACATTTGGGCTTAGTCTTCACCACTCGATAAAAATTGTACAAGATGTAGAAAATAAAATTCAACAAGCAGGAAATAGAGTAGGACAAGATATTAAAAATAAATTAAAATCTGTTTTGGATAAAAAAACTGGCTTTAAAACAATGACGACAATTCCAAAAATTTTGAATGGTGAAAAAGTGTCAAACCAAAACTTTCCAGACGACCTCAATAATTCCGATATTGCTCATTTTTAATTTGCACCAATTACATCAGTAGATGTAGAAAGAAGTTTCTCAAAGTATAAGTATTTACTTTCGGACAATCGCAGATCATTTACTATAGAAAATATCACACATACACTTATTGTTCAATGTAATAAATTTGATTAGGTTATTTAATTAGGATCATTTTATATTCTGTTTTAAATATTTTTGCAGGATATTTATGGTTTATATTTAAATAACAATTTTTAACAAGATGTTAAATAAAAGGTTTTTTTTCTTAAAAATATAAAATAAGTCATTTTTTTTTTGCATTTTAATTATGCTATACTTAAATAACAATTTTTAACAAGATGTAAAATAAAAGGTTTTTTTCTTAAAAATATAAAATAAGTCATTTTTTTGCATTTTTTAGTTAATAAAGTTATTTTATTTTATAATTTGACAATTGTTGGGTCATTTTTTGCAGTCATTTTCCATCATTTTTAGATCATTTATTCATGTTTTTTTAGGTCATTTTTTAAGGTTCTTTAGGTCATCAACTTCCGAGCCCTAGTAATGTGTAATTATGTATAGATATTAAGTGCTAACGTACATTGCCAACTATTGCCCGATAAAGTAAAATTATGACCTATACGACGCTATACAAAACTATCTGAAGATGATCGCATGGATCTAATATTATATTTATAACTAATGGACAGGAATACGAAAAACCCTTAGCGGTTTTCTTAAATTAACTTGTTTTAGGAAATAATTAACACCTTAAAACTGACATGACTTACCAATTTTCCACCATCCTATCCGACTTTCTATCCCTGAATCATCCTTTTTCCTTTATTGAAAACACAAGAATGCACAAAACCACTTCGTAACCGTACGCACCAGGTTTCTCGGATTGCTTAAAAAACTTTTACTTTTATTTAAATTACGAATACATTAATTAGTTTCTTTGCGATCCGGCTCGAACGGACCATGTTAAATTAGAGAATGTGGACTGTATGAAAAAACTCATTTTTTTTATATATTACATACTCGTTTTATTCTAATCATAATAATAATAAAGATCCTACGGTTATGGTCTATTACCTCGAGGCAGGCGGAGCACACACTGCAGACTATCATCGTGCCACATCATCGAAACAGTCCGCGATAATCGACAAGCGCATAAATATATTATACATTTAGATATAAAAGATAAAATGTGCGTCAACAGGTGTTATCATTAATTTTTGGAAAAATAAAATAAAATTATAGAAAATCATACAATGTGGCTAACTCTGGTTTAAAGATATTTAATATACGCTTAATAAATCAACACAATAATGCAATTGGCCGGAATTGGTACAGTGACCAGAACTGGTAAACTGACCCTAACAATTTACAATGAATAAAAAAGTACAATTATGTACATCATATTATCATTATTTTGTTAACTAACACTTCTTTTTTTTTTTTTATTACTTGTCTATTCGCTCTCCAAACATGGCCGAACCATTCTAATAGTTTGCTTTTTATATATAAAATAATATTTGGCCTATTATATAACTCCTGTAGTTCTTGATTTTTCCTTCTTTCGTACGTTTGTGATTCTGCATTGAATTTCGGGCCGTATATATTTTTCAGTACTTTTCTTTCGAAGGTCATTAATCGTTTGCTGTCTCCTTTGGTCAGAGACCATGTTTCACTCGCGTATGTGATTATTGGTCGTAAATAGCTATGATACAGTAGCGTAGCGTCTTTGAGTTATGTGACAGTAATTTTGATTTAAGGAGTCTCCTGATGCTATAGTAGCATCGGTTGCCGCATGCTATTCGATCATTGATTTCTTCATGCATGTCTTTGTTGCTGTTTATGTTAACACCTAGGTACTTAAATACCTCCACTTTCTTGAAAATATAGTCATCTACTGTTATGTGGTCTATGTTTGGGCTTTTTCTTGCTACCATTAAGTATTTCGTTTTTTCCTCATTTATCCGCAGCCCTATGGTTTTACTTGCTTTCAAGAGTTTGGACGCAGTATTTATGACTTCATCTCTAGTTTCTCCCATTATTACAATGTCATCTGCGTATGTCAATATTACTCGTTCCCCACATATTTCCATTTTTCGACCGTCCCATACTTCTCTCATTACTTTTTCTAATGGTAGATTAAACAAGGTGGGTGATAGAGCATCACCTTGTCTAAGTCCGGATTTTACCTCAAAGGTTTCAGCCATTTTTTGCAGGAAACACACTCTGAACATAGTTCTATTGTTACATCCTTTTATAAGACTTACGTATTTTTTAGGAATGCCTAGTACTTCCAGTGCTTTCCATAGTTTGTCTCTATCAATGCTATCATAAGCTTGCTTATAGTCTATAAATATAAGGTGCAGTTCTTTATCAAATTCATAAAACTTAGCCATTATCTGTCTCAGAGTAAAAATATTGTCCAATGTCGATTTACCTTTTCTAAAGCCACTTTGATATTCCCCGACTATTTCGTTAACATATGGGTTAATCCTTTCTATTATTAACCCGTCATTGGTATCGTGGTGAGCGCGGCGCTCACCTCGTTAGTATTTTGAGAACCACTTGTTTATTTATGACTTGATTCATTTGATACTATTTATACCTTCTATTGACACATGTCTAAATATACTTTTGTAAATATAATATTTTTATAAATATTTCTTGATTAGATATCAACATGCAAAGTCATTAGTATCCATAAAGTGAGCGTTGCGCTCACCCGATAGTATCTACGTAATATTTTTTCGTAAACGCGTGCGCATAATATATTTTTGTTTTATTTGTTTTTTCACGTTTTTATTCTAAAATGTCCGATAATGTGTCTTCGTGGCTTATAGAATCAGAAAAAATTGATTATTTAGAAGATTCGGATGATACAGATGCTGATCCCGATTATGTTGACTGTGCTAATGAACATATTGAAAATGAATATGATGACTCTGACGATGATTTTTCTGAGTCAAATGTAAGTAATAGTAATAGATCAATAATTATTCTGCGATCACGTTCTAGAAGTCGAAGTCCTTTACCAGAAACATCGTATTATCTAGGGAAAGATAATATAACTAAATGGTTTTTTGACCCACCGTCTAATAAAATACGCACTCGGCGACGTAATATAGTTTTACATTTACCAGGTGTAAAAAGAGTTGCTCGCGATGCTGTATCTATTTTAGATTGTTGGAAATTATATTTTCCAAATTCAGATGTTGATAATATAGTGAAGTGCACTAATATTTATCTAGATAAACTTCGTCAAAATTATAGTAATCAAAGTAACTTACGTGAAACATCAAACATTGAAATAAATGCACTATTTGGTCTTTTGTATTTAGCTGGAGTTATACGCAGCAACCATCTCAATCTCGATGACTTATGGTCAGATGACGGCCTAGCACCACCATATTTTCGAGCAGTTATGTCTAAAGCTCGATTTTACATTTTACTAAGGGCTTTGAGGTTTGATGATATTGGTACTAGAGCTACAAGAAAACAAATTGACAAACTCGCACCCATTCGTACATTATTTGATAACTTCGTAACACGCTGTCAAAATAATTATACAGTAGGAGAAAACGTCACAATAGACGAAATGCTCGAAGGCTTTAGAGGGCGATGTAGTTTTCGGCAGTACATTCCAAATAAGCCTAATAAATACGGAATAAAAATTCAGGCCTTAGTTGATTCCCGTACTTTCTATACGGCAAACATGGAAGTTTATGTTGGGACACAGCCAGATGGACCGTATAAGTGCGATAACAGTCCTATGAGCATTGTAAAAAGAATGGTTGCCCCTATTTCAAAAACGGGACGTAATGTAACCATGGATAATTGGTATAGTTCGATACCATTATCATTAGATTTGTTGAAAAATCACAACCTAACTATGGTTGGAACAATACGGAAAAATAAACGTGAA